ATTAATTACCTGATTTGCATAATTAGTTTTCAGCTTTTTCATCAATTACGGGGTTTATTTTTAAAATTGTCGTATGGATTTCCAGAAATCCCTGACCCATTTCAGTCTCAACTGTTAAATTCACACATTGTCTGGCATGAACATTGGTAAATAGGTGTTTAAGGCAACTATGTGTAGGTATGTACCGGTAACAACAAAGCAATGAGCAGAACAAAAACCTGTGCATGCATCACGGTCACTTATTACATTCCCTCACTCTCCACGCTCAGTCAGTAGGAAGGGAAAGGTAAATTAAGGGGAAAATATCTGTCGTCCTTGTTGTCATTGTTAATGTGTGCACAATAACTTTACTAATTCTATCCCAAACTTTATCAAACTTGGTCACCTTATTCATCAGTATAAAATCTTCCCTTAGTGCAAACAACAAATATCCTATGTGAGAATATTATGCGAAAATTTAGAAAGTAAATAAAAAAATTATTCTTGACTGATTACTTGTGATGCACATTCTAGGATCACTGATCTCAGTGGGAATATGCATTGTTGTATGTGTTCAATGAATTAAATCATTTACCTTCTAATCAATATCATAGGTAATGTGTCTCCTAAATCCCTATGGGAATACTAAATTTGACACATTTGCAAACATACCAATAAAATACATAAACTATCTTAACAGAAAACAAGATGTCAGATAATCGATATAAGCACTCCTATGAATAAATCTTTGGGTGCCAAACTGTTGATCAAGATCTGAAGCCGATAGAAAATGATGTCTGTTTAGTTCAAAGTTATAAAAACAAAAATAATGCACTCCCTATCTGTTCATATTTACATTCTAAGCTCACAATTTTTGAGCATGTGATGTGTTTATGTGTTGCATCTCAGTTGAATGCAGGTTGACATACATTTATGATTCAAGGCTGAATTCATGAAAATCATACCTCTCTGCAAATATTTTTGCTACACCAAAATTAATACATTTTTTTTTGTTCAAAAAATTGTGTCCTGAATTAACCCCTTTCCTCAGCCCTCAATATGAGACATAAATTATACACTCTTGCATGCTGCCCCGATTATGTGCCATGAATTATACCCCCTCACAGACTATGAATATCAATTCCCTTCTAAAGAGATATTTTGGACCCAAAATGTGCCATGAATTATACCCCCTCACAGACTATGAATATCAATTCCCTTCTAAAGAGATATTTTGGACCCAAAATGTGCCATGAATTATACCCCCTCACAGACTATGAATAATAATTCCCTTGTAAAGAAATATTTTGGACCCAAAATGTGCCATGAATTATATCCCTTTACATGTATTCTGTCCCCAATGCGTGCTATGAATGAATAAAACAATGCATACAACTACAATTGTTCGTCCTGTTTAGCCAACTGGAAATTATGTCCTTAAAACAATTAAACAAATTAGGCACCAATGTCTCTGTAAGATATTTACATCAATGAAGGACTTTTGGTAGACTGTTTTCTACTACTGTTTTAATTCTAAAACTTGTTTGTATTCATAATTAATTATGACAGTGCACATTCATATTTCAACAAATTATGATAATATTATATAACGAAGGGCCAGAGGGGGTTGTCACCCTTCAAAAATAATGTTGGAGGTGTCGCCGCACCAAAATCAAACTGAAACCCTTTGTGTCAGCAAAATTTGTCCCTCAAAATGCAGGAAATAGTGTTTCAGAGGGTCTAGATTTAAACATTTTTATGGTGGGAGCATGCTCCCGGACTCCCACGGCGGGAAGTAAGTGACCAGATCCGCCTCTCAATGTAAAATGTTGTGCCCCGCCGCTGTAGTATCTTTATGCAATTGACTTTGGTGGAGTGTTACCAAGTCCAACCTCCCAAGTTTCATGACGTCTCTTATAAATAAATAGATAAATGACATTATGCTGGTCAGCTTCAGTAAAATATGTTAAGATTTGTTAATTCTTTTATGTCCGTCTATTTCAGTTGTTTGCTTTAAACAGAAGTGGTATTCTACTTTCTTTCAAATTAGACAAAGGGAATTCATGTAACTGGTACTTTCCACTTGATGAATGAAAAAGTTGGCATTCAATCTAACCAAATTTTCTCCACAAGTACAAAAAAGTATAAAAGTACAAACACTTGTGTTAATGCCTTGTTGACATTAATATACCTGTTCCACGCCAGTGGATATCTCATGAACCACTGGTCAGATTTCAA